CCCTAGGCCCACGGCATCATTGAGAAGGTCTGAGAAGCCTGGGCTAAGGTATCAATAAAAGAGGAGCCGGGCTCCCCTCTCCTCCGTTCCCAGGGAGCATGTGCTTGAAAACTGTGCCCTTCTGGCAACTTTACATTCATCTCTGTTATTGGACTTATTAGTGAGTCCGGGAGTGAAAATTTCAGAAGAAGTAGGAATGGACCAGTAGCTTCCAGAAATTCCTCCTATCATGCTGTTTGACCACTTGCTCACTCTACCCAGAAATGCAGTTGTCCTTCCTTCTTGCCAATCCCAGTCGAAACTTTCCTCCTCAAGGACATCCTTTCAGAGTAGCACTATTTGGTTCAGGCCACTGAATTCATCTGAGGATCTGCTGATACTCTTTCACTCAGTTCTCATCAGCTGTGTCCTAATTCCTCTGTCCCTGCTGTTTCACTTTTGTCTCTGAGCTGAAGAGGCTAACTCTGCTTAGGTGCCCAGCCAGGCTGCTGGGATGGAGTGAGCTAGGGGTGGAGGGTGGGGGTGAATAGTGGCAATACCACTGACGCTGAAGCTTAAGGACCTGGGTTCAAATCCTACCTCTGACATTTACCCATGTGACTTTGGTCAAGTTATTTCTTCTTTAGGCCTCAGTTTTCTCATCTGTAAAATGAGAGGATTGGTCTAGATTGATCTGAGGTCCTCACAACCCCCCAAGCTCCAGATTTATGATTCTGCCTTGCTAATGAGCCTATATCTGTGTTGGTTATAGGTGCTACTCTCCTCGCCACCATGCCTGAACCGTAAGTAATTCTGCTCCCTCCAGAGAAAGTGTGCATGAGTGTGTGTGTGTGTGTGTGTGTGTGTGTGTGTGTGTGTGTGTGTGTGTGCATGTGTGAGGGGGTGGATGGATTTGGGTGTATGGGTGAGGTGGTGGAGTCTTAGACTCAAGGTACAGCCCAGGCTATCTGTCATTTAAGTAGCTTTCTTGGGAGGGGCTCCAAGTCTTTTATGAAAACCAAACCCTTTAATCCCAGACTGCTCCAAATTCCTCAGTGCAGCTGCCACTAGAAACCATCTTCTCTCAGTAATGAGCCCTTACATTTGCAAAGCACTTTTGTCATTTTCAAAGCATAAGTCAAATCAACAAATACTTACAGTGCACCTACTATGTGTCAGGCACTATGCTGAACTCTGAGGGCACCAAGAAAAGCAAAAACAACAACAAATAATAGTCCCTGATCTCATTTTCCACAGTGGCCTCCATGTGACCACAGTTGATTTTTACAACTCTATGTAGCAGGAATATTAGTTATTACTGTTTCCACTTAACAGATGAAAAACTGATTGAGGAAGTCAAGTCTTATTAAAGATCTTATAACCTTATAATATGACTTATCTAAGGTCATATAAATGGCAAGAAGAAAAGAAGGCAGTCAATTGATAAACTTATTAAGGTCCTGCTATGTGCCAGTCACTATGCTAAGTTCTGGAGATACAAAGAAAGGCAAAAGACAGTCCCTGCCCTCAGGGAGTTTACAATTTAATGGAGGAGACAACATGAAAACAACTAAGTACAAATAAGCTATGTACGAGATAAATAGGAAATAATCAAGAGAGGGAAGCCACTAGAATTAAGAGGGATTAGGAAAGACTTCCTGTAGAAGGTAGGGTTTTATCTGGGACTTGAAGGAAGCCTTGAAGGAGCTAGAGGTAGACATGAGGAGAGAGAGCATTCTATGCCTGGGAGACAGATCCAGGAAATGGAGGGTCTTGTTTGAGGAATAGCAAGGATATTGGTGTCACTGAATCAAAGAGAAGGGTGGGGGTGCCAGATGAGGGGTTGGAAGATACTGGAAAGGTGGGGAGTGGGGGCAGGTTATGAAGGGCTTGGAATACCAAATGGAAGATTTTATATTTGATCTTGGTGGTAATAGGGAGCCACTAGAATTTAAGTAGAAGGGTGGGTGGGCAGTGATATGGTCAGACTTGAAACATTAAAAAGAGCCTAGAACCCTCTTTATTTCCAATTTAATGTTCTTTCCACTTCCTTACCAGGTCATGTAAGAATTTTAAACTAAGTCGTATTCTTTAGTTGGAATTACCTGGCCCATCTCTTTGCATTAATTAAATAAACTGAGTGGATTTCAGTCCCCATACCTTACTTTTCATTGAGGGGACATGGAATTAGTAAGTAACTGATGGTGCTGGAAGTAATAACAACTCACATTTATGTAGCATTTTAAGGCTTATAGAATACCTTTTTTCATAATGATTCTATCATATAGGAAATATAAGTATGAGAAGACAGGCCTCAGAAAAGTTAAGTGACTTGTTCGAGATCACACAGCTATTAAATGTTGGAACCAGGATTTGAACCTAGGTCTTCATGACTCAATTGTTCCTCCCCCTGCAGCATGCTAGAATCTGAACCACGAGCACAGTGCCTTGTATATAATAGACATTCAGTAAATGCTTATTGAATTCCCAGGAGTGAAGAATGTCAGAGTTGGCAAGAACCTTACAGACAGACCATGTCTTCTAGCCTATATCCGAACCAAAAAAACCTTCTACAATACGCTCGATAAGTAGCCATGCAACCTTTGCTTGGAGACCTCCAATAGACAGAGGGAAGAGGGGACCCCTGGGGTGCCCTGCTTCATTTGTAGAGAGCTACGACTCAAATGCCATCAAGCCCAAGTTTGCTTATTTGTAGTTTCTATGCATTTCTCCTAGTTTTAGCCTCTGAGGATGAGTAGGACAAATCTATTCCCTCTTTCACTTGACAATCCTTCAAAATACTTGAAGATAGCTACCATGTGCCCTCCCAGTTTTCTCTGTAGCTCAGATGAAATATACTCAATTCCTTCAAACAATCTTTATCTGGCACAAACTAAAGACACTTCCCCAACCTGGTTGCCCTCTCCTGGATCCTCTTGAGTTTCTTAACTTCTTTCCCAAAATGTGACTCTCAGAACTGAAAACAGTATGCCAGAAATGTCTTGACCAGGGTCTTACATCAAGGATGAGAAAAATCTCCTACAAGGAATGAGGCATTTTACACTGAGAAGCCCAAGAACTGAGAGTGATGGTTTATAGAAGGAAGTATCACTTTTCATTCCATTTTAATTTGCTTCCTATCTTCTTCCCTCCCTCCTCTACCCCCCAGTGCCCCCACTGCCAGATATCTTTTAGGCCAGTCATTATTTCTCTCAAGTGGTTTTCCCCAGTGAGTCTGCATGCCTTTGTTATAGTATATATTTATGCTTTGTATTCACTCTGTGTTCTGATCTTTTCTCTCCTTGCCTTTCCTGGGATGGATGCTTGAAGGGAGGTAAGATATTTGGGGTGCCCAAGTTGAATCTCCAGCCTGGTGAAGATGGGGTGGACATTTAAGGAAAGGTGTAGAACTTTTGGGGTTCTGGCCATTCTCCAGTTCTTCAGACTCAGGCAACACCATCCCTTCTTCCCCTAACTTATCTTAACAGAAAACAAATGGGTTGAAATAAAACTTTTCTCAATAATTCAGGGAAGAAATAAACAGAGAAAATAAGAGGTTCACAGCTTAGGCAAATCTTTTTGAAGTAGTAAAATGGTTAAGTCAAAGAAATGGCTTTCAATCCAGTTCCCCCCGGCTCTTTCCAAGTCTTTGCATGTGATATCACAATCTAAAATTATACAATCTGGGAGAATTCACAGGGGATAATTTAGCCATGGCTATTCTTTATAGTAACAAGCCACTTATCTGGCAAACTCACCTGTCTGGAGTATAAGTGAGAGCCAGGAAGGAAACAAAATGGGCTTCTGAGATGCCAAAATAGATCACAAAATGGAAAATTGGAAGAGGCCATCTAGAGCTCACCCCCTTTTCCAGATGAGGAAACTGAGTCCCAGAGCAGAAAAGTGACTTACTCAAGGTCAAATTGTAACTAGCAAAGCCAGGATTCAAACTCATTTCTTCTGACATCGAATCCAGGGCTCTTTCTACAATATCCCCATTGCTCTTTATGTCACCAAGTCCATACATTAAAGCTTATTTATTTTACTCAAAGGAGAGCCCCTCACTTACAGTGTATCTACTTTTATTTTAGATACAATTCTAACATATTTCTTTATCTGGTTTCCTGCTCAACAGCAGATTAGAAGTTTCAAAAAGAGTAATAGAGCAGGGTGATGCTGATAATAGCAAGACGTGACAACAGGCAGACTCATATAGAGGGAGGAGACAGGAAAATTATAAAAAGCAGGAAACAAAACTCAAAAAACACAGAAGTCTAGGACTGTTTACTATAGGCTCAAATAGTCCCACCCACCTCAGTGGTCCCCAAGGGTATCTGGTCTTAAGATAGCCACTGATATTAATAAAGATAGGAAAATGAAAATTGTGTTTAAAAGTTCTGTTTAAGAAACCAAGAGAGTAGGTCTTCTGTTTTAGATTTTAATCCCAAATGGTTAAAATAAAATTAAATTTGTGTCATTTAAAAGGACAATTTTCAGTTACATGGAAAAATAATTTGTGGGGCTCACTTCATTCCTAAACTGTACTAGACAAGTGATGTGTGACTGTTACTATTCATTCACCATTTATTCATCGTTATAATAACTTGTATCACCATTACTCTGTATGCATTTCAAGGCCATTTTATATTCAATATTTTGTTTTGTCTTTACATCAACCCTGTGAGATAGGTGAGAAAGAGATTATTATTTTCATTTTATAAATGAGGACACTGAGGCCCAGGAAGATGAGTAGCAGTGATTTGCTGACAGTCACATAGGTAAATTGACAATACAATCTGGACTAGAACTCAGGTCTCTTGTCTTCTAACTGAAGTTCGTTGATCATAGTCTCTTTTCCTGAATTCAAGGTTCTCAAATCAATCCAACAAAGGAGTTTTTAAAGGAATATTCTGGGTACCGATAAGCAAATTCCCCTCCAACGCTCCTCTCACTTCAGAATTCCAGGCCTGCTCTATTTATCTCATCTGCCTCTCCCATTTTTTTCTTTTCCCTCTCAGAGAAAATCCAAGATCACTGCTTCCCGCAAACTGTTGCTCAAGGTGGGTCTGAACCTGAAGCTTCCCTGGGTACTTCCAAATAGGAAGAAGTGAGGATGGAGTTCAGTCCTTGAGGATGACTAGAAGACACATGGCTTATTGAGCACCATGATTCTGAGCTATGAGAGCTCTTATTCCTTCCTGTCCCCATATCCTGCAATTGTTCAGTTTCTCTGCTAGTCTGAGATAGTCATTTCCAAGCCCAGAAGCCTAGTCAGACACAGTCAATTAGTCCATCAGCTAACAGCACTGACTGATACCCTCATGTGTACAGAACTGTACTAGGTACTGTGAGAATCCAGAGGAAGGAGAGGTATGGTCTTTACCCCTAAGGAGTTCCCATCTGATGGGGAAGAAGCAGTACCTACCTTTGGTGAGCTTCCAGCCTGATGGAGGAAACATAGTCCCAGCCCTGAAGAATCTTCCAAGATGAGGGAGAAGTAGTTCCTACCTTCAAGGAGCTTCCCATCTTATGGGAGAGACAGAGTCCCTACTCATAATGGTCTTCCTGTTTGATGGGGGAAAAGTAGTCCTTCCCACTAAAGATCCCTTAGTTTAAAAGGAACAGAATAGTGTCCTTTCCTCAAGAAGGTCCCTATCTGATAGGGGAGACTCAATTCTTCTGATAAGGGGATTCCCTAGAAGCCCAGGAGGACCAGGACCAGTAGAGAAGGTGAACATGTCTATGCCCTACCACAGGATGCAAAAGATGGAAAGTAGGCGGACTCATCCAGAACCTATTGTCTTTCCCCCATAATGCACAGGTGCACAAAGGGTGGGCAAACAATTCATTCTAGGTGCCTAAGAGGTGTTTTGATTAGTCCCTGGGATGGAGGAGGCCTCAATGGTGGTGAGAAGCAGGATGTACATTACTCCAGAGCTCTGTGAGTCTGGAAGAGGCAGAGTTAAAAGTTGGGAAGGAGGAGGTTTCATGGAAAATGACTTAGGCACGTGGATCACCCTTGCTTGTGGCCTGCTCAATCTGTCCATGTGTGTACAAATACCATGGAATGACCTCTCACTCATACAGCCCCTGAAATTAATTACATCCATTCTGTCCTGAGTATGGAAATGCAGGAAGCCCATATGACACGATCAGACATACACACACAGTACCAGCTCTGTCTAAGCAGCCTGGTGCACCATGTTAGGTGCCCTTTCCACTCAGATACCAGCAGGTCTTATGGTTATAGCCAGCTGTGGGAGGAGGCCAAGGGGAGAATGAGAGTGGCCAAAAGGCCCCAGGACCGGCTTCCCTTGACATCCTCGTGCCCCTCTAGAGCTTGATGCTGGCCAAAGCCAAGGAGTGCTGGGAGCAAGAGCATGAGGAGAAGGAAGCTGAGAAGGCCAGGTACCTGGCTGAAAGGATTCCTACGCTCGAGACTCGAGGCCTGTCACTCAGTGCCCTGCAGGTGAGCTTCAGGGAGAGGAGGATGGAGATATTTGTCAATAATAAGCATTTATTAAGCCTTTGCTATGTGCAGAGTTCTGTGCTAGGCATCTGGAAAGAGGCAAAGTTTAGATAAGACCTTACCCCAATGGAGCTTAAAGTGGTGGGCAGAGAAGACTCCAATCTGTGTAATTAGGATATATAATATGACATGGTGAGATCATTAGAGGAGGACGCAGCAAAGCATGAGAAGAGATCTGAGGAGGAAAGTATTGCCAACAGTGGGGTATGGAGAGGAGACATTTTACTGCAGGTGAGCATCAAAGGATGAATAGGAATTTAATAGGTGAAAAATTAGAGTGAAGGCATTCTAGGCATAGGAATGAAGGCAGGAGAGGGCAATGTCATGTAATGCATGGTCAGTGGGTAGAGAATTGTTTGGAGGGTGAATGGGTGAGAGGAACTCAATTTTATTGTTCAGAAGATGGCCCATTTGGAACCCACCTTGCAGCACTGTGATTTCACACTAGGTACTAGGAAAGTCCCTTCTGCCCCCTGAAAAACTTCCGACCTAGCCTCCCTGAAATTCCACTGATAAAAATTCATCCCTTTGACTTAAGACTCAGGGCCTTGTTAAGATCCAAATGCCCATGGGAAGGAGCAGGCTTTAAGCCTCATTAGTCATGTGTACCTTAGTGTGAATAAGTCTATTAACTTCTTTCTGGAACACATAATTTGATGGGGGAAAGGTGGAGAGTGGGGGCGGGGGAAGGCAAAAGATGATAAGACAAAGGGCCTGGGTGTGAATTTTGCCTCTCAGAGCCTGTTGGCTAATTTCATTATTTCTCTCAATCTTTGTTTCTCTCAGGACCTGTGCAGGGAGCTACATGCTAAGGTAGAGGTTGTGGATGAGGAGAGGTATGACATTGAAGCCAAATGCAACCATAACACCCGGGAGGTAAGGATTTCCATAGACTGAGGAGAGTTCTGGGCTGAGAGCGTGGAGGAAAGCTGTAACACTGTGAATAAATCATAATGATTTATAAAACCTTAAGGTTTAAAAACTGCTTTCCTTGCAAAAATCCTGGGAGGTAGGTAGCACATACATTAAAAATTTTTTCTTTTGGATTCATTTTATGCATCAGGACACTGAAGTTCAGAGAGGTGATTCATGGCCTGCACACTCAGCACCTGGTAGAGCTAGAACTTGATTCTAGTTCCCCACCCCTGGTCTAGAGCATTACCATCAATAGCCAAATGCCCCAGTTGCCTAGTATCCCATTCAGAAATGAGGTATTTCTGGGTTTGCCTTTTGAATAGTAGAGCACCTTTGCAGCATTAGTCTTAGGTTAAGAAGACTGGGTTTTGAAGTGCAGTCCTAACACCTAGCTTTGCATCCACAGACAAATCTTCTTTTGTTTTATGTCCATAGACAAATCTTTCTCTGAGTATTTCTTAGCACACAATCTGAAGCAGGAAACAAGGGCTGCATCTGAACAGAACTAGGGGGAAAAAACCAAGTCCACAGCTCTCCACCTTAGAGAGGATGTGGTATTGTGAGTCTGAGTCCAACTCATGTGGTGGTTAAGCTTACATGGTCTTTGATATCTTTTCTAATTCTGATTGTAGGAATCTATGGACTCCACTAACCTGTGGGCCAGTCCTTTTGACCCTACTCCTAAAGCTCTGGGATCCCCTGTATGGGTAGAAGAGTCCTCCTGAGGGTTTCCCTTCTTAACGTGCTACTCTCTCCATCCTTTCTGCCAGATCAAGGACTTGAAGCTGAAAGTGCTTGATCTTCGAGGAAAGTTCAAACGCCCACCCCTGCGACGGGTCCGCGTGTCTGCAGATGCCATGCTCCGGGCACTGCTGGGCTCAAAGCACAAAGTGTCCATGGACCTGAGGGCCAACCTCAAGTCTGTGAAGAAGGAGGACACAGAGAAGGTGGGGCCTCTTCTCTCCTCACACCCACCCCTTCGACCACCAACTGTTATTTCCCCTCAAAGCTAAAGGAGTGATTCCAGATCTCCTGCTAGACAGATGGACTGTCCAATTGGCTCAGACTAGAGTCTGATCATTTATTACTGTCTTTATAAAGGGGAAAGTATAGAAGTATGCTAGGTGTTTGGGGTGTAGGGGATCACCAAACCCTACTATCCTGAGGGGTCCCTGTGACACTTGCTTGGTTAGGGCTGGGATTGAGAGGAAGTTGTTTTTGCCTTGGAGGAATTTCCAGCTTAGTGGTAAAGACATGGTCCCTGCCCAAAAGAAATTAGAATAAGATGTTAACTAGAAAACGCTGAAGTAAGCCTGGATGAATGATTGGACCTAGAATGAAAGCAATGGACTAAGGAAGATAAGAATGAGACCTCACTCTGCCACTGGGATACTTACATCTGAAATAGTGTTCTTGGGACTGAAATTAGAGCAGATGGCATAATGGGCTATCTCAAAACAACCATTGAGAACTTCCTCCTGACCCCAACACATGCTTGCTTCCTTCTTGCTGTAGGTTCTAAACAGTGCCTTAATATTTGAACCTCAGCATTTCTTCAATTTCCCTTGCAACGATAGCCTTCCCAGCCTTGGAGATAAAGGGAAGGGAAACAGGAGGGGGAACTTTGTATTTTTTGAAGGAGCTGATTTTTTTTTTTCCCCTAGCCAGCTTTCCTTCATGGTTGATAGGCCTAGGCTGACTTTCTCTTACTCTGGCCTATGTTTTTGCCTTACAGGAGCGGCCTGTGGAGGTGGGTGACTGGCGTAAGAATGTGGAGGCCATGTCTGGCATGGAGGGCCGGAAGAAGATGTTTGACGCAGCCAAGTCGCCAACCACCCAGTGAAAGGTACCAGGCACCCTGGCTACCCCAACCTTACCTTGGCTCCAGTTCTTTGGCACCTTCCTCTTCATCCTTCATCTCTCTTAGTCTTAAGTGGGACTAGGTCTGTGGCTTGGATGAAAATCATAAGAAATGTTAGGTTCAGAATGGACTGGTAATGCTTAGGGCAACTTGGAAGATGTCTGGCATGGCAGAAAGAACATTTGATTTGGAAGCAAAAGGCATGAGACTGGATGTTGGCTTCTAAGCTATGTGACCTTGGGCAAGTCCCATCATTTCTCTTGTTGCTTTATCTGTAAAATGAAAGTCTTGGGCTATATGTTCTCTTAAGTTCCTTTCAGTTCTAACAGTGTCAACTCTATGTTATAGTGAAGGAGAAGGGGGTTGAGTCTCAGAAGTCTGGTTACCTAAGGTAGCCTAGGGCCTTCCCTGCTGGTTGGGTCCAAGGAAAGAATGTAATGGCATGGTTTCTGGGAACCAGAAATTCTGATGATGTCACCAAACATCCTGAATATTTCACCCAATAGGAAGAAGATATGAGGCCAGAGCTGGCTGTGACCAGAAGATGGGCACAGCTAATGATGTTGTGGGAGTGAGGGTTGAAGAGGAGGAGTAGACAAAGCTATGGATAAAGTGCAATGCCAGGGAATGGGGACTGGACTTAATCACAGGATGTGAGCACATCATTTCACTTGTCTCAGTTTCCTCACCTGTGGATAGGCAGCTAGATGGCACAGTAGAAAGAGTGCTGGACCTGGAGTCATGAAGACCTGAGTTCAAATCCAGCCTCAGACACTTTCTAGCTGTATGACCCTGGGCAAGTCATTCAACCTCTGTTTGCTTTCATCCACTGGAGAAGGAAATGTCAAACCACTCCAGTATCTTTGCCAAGAACATCCCATGGATAGTATTGTCCATGGGGTCACAGAGAGTTGAACGTGACTGAACAGCAATAATCTGCCATTAGAGAAGTGTCAGGATATAAATGATCTGATCCAGTGAATCTAAGATTTGGCGATGTCCTCTCATGACTTTGCTTGTCTTAGATAAAGATTCATTTGTCCACAGATTCCTCCGTGCTACCGGCACCATTCCCAGCAAGTGGAATGATGTAGTCATTGCTCTCCAATGACTTACAGGCCAACTGGGAAGATAAACTCCATGCCCAAGAAGCTACTAAATGAATGTGTAAAACACCATGTGAATGAGTACAGGACTGAAACTATCCTAGAATCACAATCTCTGAGTTGGAAGGGACTCCAGGGTCATCCAGTCCAGGCTAAACCTGGACAACAAATCCCCTCTGCAATATCCTGACAGTCATCTGGTGCCTGAAGACACCAGGCGATGGAGAGCCCACTGCTTCCTGAGGCAGCCCGCTGCCATTTTGGACAGCTGCACACTGAAGTGAAGAGTTAGGAACAAAGAAAGGGAACCAGTATTTATTAAGCAACTACCATGTGCCAGGCATTGTGCTAAGTGCTTCACAAGTATTATGTCATTTGATTCTTACAATAACCTGGTGGGGGGAGGGTTAGATGCTATTATTTTCCCCATGTTATAGCCAAGGAAACCGAGGCAAACAAATTACGTGACTTGCCCAGGGTCACACAACTAGCAAGGCTGGATTTGAACTCAGGTCTTTCCAATTTTGGGCCCACTGCCCCATCTGACTACCTATAGGACTCAAGGTAGGTCATTTCAGCTCAGTGGACCTCAATTTTTTCATCTGTAAAAATAGGGGATGAGCTAGGTGATTTGCAAATCCCCTTCCAAAATGAATTCTATGATTCATTGAAGCTAATAATTAAAGTAACTTTCCTAGCAACTTCTGCTCTTTCTAGTTCTGCCTTCTGGGTCAAGGGGGAAAGATTTTATCTACCCATGCAACACTCAGGCTATACACATCCTGTACATCAGGGAATGCCGAAGGAACATGAAGTAAGGGAGGGACCATTTGGGTGGGATGAGCAAGGAACAGCTTCTTAGAGGAGAATTTAAAGCCAACTTGAAGGAAGGGAATTAACAGGGAGGGAAGAGAGAAGGGTTTTTCAGGAGACAATAAAAGCAGAAAGTCAGAAAGTGGCCAATTCTGTTTGATACAATTTGAACATTTATTAAGTGTCTACTGTGTACATTGTACTTTGCACATCAGACACTGAGATGAATAAGGCCTAGTTCCTGTTCTCAGAGAGCTTGGAATCCAATTGAGATAAGAGCAAGCACGGCCAGTTGGTTGGAGCCCAAGGGCTGTACTGGGGGGCAACGAATGATGGGATCAGAAAGGTGGGTGAAGCAGGTGGTCAGAAGCTGTGAATGAGATTCATTAGATACTATGTGGATAAGAAGTGATCTTCAAACTTTGAAGTACTCTGTGAATGTCTATTGTTATTGTTATTATTACCATCAGCATTTTTAGGTATGTTACAGTAAGTGTAGGGAACCATTGCACTTTATGTAGAACTTACAGGGTGGCAGAGATACTGGCGTGGTTTGCCATTTCCTTTTCCTGTTTATTTTACAGATGAGGAAACTGAGGCAAACAGGGTTAAGTGACTTGCTCAGGGTCACACAGCTAGTAAGTGTCTGATGCTGGTTTTGAACTCATGAAGATGAGTGTCTATCCAGTGCTCTATCCACTGTGCCACCTAGCTTAGGGGCAACCTCCGGTCATCTTGATATCTGGCTACTGGACCCAGGTGGCTCAGGAAGAGAAAGTGAGGCTGGTAACCTTGCATAGCCCTCCCTCACTTAAATCTAAGTCATTTGCAAATCATGGCATCATCTTGCTGATGTTATGGTCCTCTTTGAGAAGAAAGAACAAACAACAACAGGGCGGCAGATATGGGAAATGACTTTCTAACAATTAGGATCATAGATTTAGAGCTGGAAGGGTCCTTATCTAGTCCTATCTCTTCATTTTTCCAGATGAGGAAACTGAGGCCTAAAGACAGATAAATCACTTGCCCAAGGTCACACAGATAATAATCAAAGCAATTAAATAATCATGCAGAGCTGGGATTTGAACCCTAGACCCCAGACTCCAAATCCAGCATTCTTTGCAATGATATCTGCCTTTTCCCTCCCCCCTCCCCCAGGAAGTCACCCTGAGGAGGTCTTCATATACAGGCTGAATGATGACTTATTGGACAAGATAACCTCTGTGTTCCATTCCAATGTAGATTTTAGGAGTCTATGAAAATTAGTTTGTCCTCCCCCAAGTATACACCGACTGCCTGAGAAAGCCAGGCTATGATTAAAAGTGTACTATGGATAATTCACAACCGGGAGCTGACCCCCGCTCTATTTCTTTGTCTTCACAGGTTGCTTTCCCAAGCTCTGCAGGATTTCCGTCTCACCCTCTGCTCCTCTCACCTTCCACACCCCACTCCAACTCTGTCCAAGTCCCTCGGCCCATCTTCAGAGATGTCACCTGAATCTGTGACAGGGGACCTCCACAGCCTAGTCATACACCTATCACTCCCAACTCTTCAACACATCAGGCCTGGCCTCAGCCCTGCTCCAGAACTGGGAACTGAATTAACACCAAAGGGAGGAGAAAAATGGAAATATCCCAGGAGCAAGGAAGTAAAAACCATTGGTCCAGACCACACCCAGCTAAGTAGATTTCCTTGGCTCATTTTTAGGCACTGAGGCATCCTGAGTCATTTGTCCCTCACTCTCACCTGCCCTCAGGCCCCAGAGCACTCACCTTGCCTCAGAAGGGCTGATATGGATGCTGTAACCCTTTCTACTGTCTTCTCCTTCCCTTCTTTTATGTATATGACGTGTGGCCTGAGTGAGTTGTATGCTGTCCATTACAGTTACAGTTTCCTCATCATTTTGGGGACTCCCATGCTTCATGTGTGTGTGTGGGGGGAGGGGGGTAGTAATCTTTGAACTGAGGGTGGGGAGACATTTGGTGGGGCTGTGGCCATAGGGCTACCTCTCTCTGCCTTCCTCCTTGGAGTGGAGAGCCTGGAGGGGAATCTTCATTTTTTCTGGGAAGCAATTGAAACAGTAACTAGCTTCTGAGGTCATCCCTCATCATCAACACCATTATCCCATTACATTTTCTAGGAATGCAGGCTGGAAAGCTCTTTGGTTCTATGGAGAGCTTTTCAGTTAAAAGGCATTTATGATACATTGACTTGGGAACCTGGGATGGGAGAAGACTTTTTGACCTTCCTAACTTCCCAGCAACTTATACTGTGACAGTTTTCCTATAAACTTCCTGCTGGGCTGGATGAGGAGATGTACAGGACCTTTCCTATAGAAAGGATTGGAGTTAGGAGTCAAGGGTTCTAGTCTCATCTCTGCTTCTGGGTAGCTATCTGGCCCCTGATGTTTCAGTTTCCTTATCTGTGAAATGGGAACAATAACACCATAAATACCACATCTGGAGTACAGGGTTCAGATCTGGGTGCCACATTTTAGGAAGAATATTGATAAGCAGAGGATGACAATCATGGTGATGAGGGGCTTTGGATATGTAGATTGGTTAAAGGAGCTGGGAATATTTGACCTGAAGATGACACACGACAGCTGTCTTCAATTATTTGAAGGGTGGGCTATCTTGTGATTCTTCCACAAGATTAGACTTGTTGGGGGCAGCTAGGTGGTACAGTGAATAGACACATAACACTTACTAGCTGTGTGACCCTGGGCAAGTCACTTAACCTCTGTTGCCCAACCCCCCCCAAAAAAGGTTAGACTTGTTCCACTTGGCCACAGGACTAGAAACAATGGGTGGCAATTGCAGAGTCAATTTTGGCTAAATTTTAGGGAAAAATCACTTACCATTTGGAAGTGTCCAGAAGTGAAATGGGATGGATGGTTTCCCCTTAACTAGAGGCCTTCACAAAAAGGCTGAAGGACTTTTTGTTGGGGATGTCGTTGAGGGCATGAACGTTCAAGTGTGGGCTGGATTGGGTGGCCTCCCAGGTCTTTTGAACCCTGTGTTTCTTTGATCATTTACCTCCTATCTCTCCCTCATTTTATAGATGGGAAAACTGAGCGCCATAGAGATTGACTGATTTGTGTGTTTACAAATCAGTTGACCCACTATAATCCTAGGTTGTAGGATGACTATTATCAACCTCATTTTGCATATAAGGAACTAAGAGTGGCATGGTGAATGGCCTAAGGTTACAAAGCGACAAATATCTAAGGGGACATTGGAACCCAGGACTTTGGACTCCTGACTTGGAGACTGGTATTCTCTGCACTACTACATACTTAGCTCCTACTACCTCCTTGGTTCCCTAGTGACATCACACAGAATATTCCCCTAAATTATCAAACTGTTAATGGTGTTCCTGATCCCAGAAGCTCTGCCCAGTGACTAAATATACTAAGACTATGAAGAGAGGTGATATTCCAGAACTGGTGGTACATAGGCCTCCCTCCCCTACCCCTGAGATTTTATACCTGTCCCATTACTTGGCCAACAACAGGTCCCTACCCAAGCACCACTTAATGGTTATTGTTTGGGCTTGGGTGGATCAGAGTGAATGTAAATAGAAATTGTTTCTCTTTTGGCCAGAAACCCTGAGGGTCTTCCCTTCCCAGTTCGGATTTTTTTTTTTTTTTGGATTAAAGGGGCCATCTCTTGGCTCACTTATTAGACAACCCTAATCACTGAATGGGCATTGCCTCAGTCGAAGTGAGAACTCAGAAAGACTTTACCTTTAAAAGGCTGAGGTCTCCCACTGCATTCTGGGTCATCTCCAGTTGCTCCCCTTGGCCTAAGACCACAGAAACAGAAACAATGGGTGGTAGCCGCAGAGAGGTGGGCATTGGCTAAGTTGGCTACTTAGCATTTAGAACTCTCCTAAGTGGAGAGGGGGTAATGGTTTTCCCTTCACACCCCAGACAGGCTCCATTTCTGCCCTTCCCCTGCCTGGTGCCAACCTTCTGCCACCTCCCCCGTCCTTCTGGGGAAGGTAACTGGAGCTGACTGCTTCCCACCTAATCTGAAAAATCAAAGCACAGGTCAGCTTGGGTTTGATTGCTCATGCAGGTATACCTTGCTTTATGGAATCAATGTGTTACGGAAACACCAGCTGTAAAGTGAATCTTTTTTCCATTGAATTCCCTTGTAAATCATGATGGGTAGCAGGTACAGAAAGAGATTAAATCTTCACCTGTGGAAAAATCTCTGAACAATGGAAGCTGTCCCAGTTTAATGAGCTACTTCAGTAGGCTATGGGTCCCTTATCAATGTACATCTTCAAGCAGTGGCTGGATGCCCACTTGTCATTGTATATTTTGAAGGGGATTCCTATTCAGGTATGAATTCACCAGATTGTCTATGAATTCACCAGGTCAACTCTGATTCTGTAAAACTCTCGTTGTTGCCACCAGGTGGCTCCTGCCATAAGCACAACAGTGCAAGGTGTATCTCCCACTCTAAAGACTGGGGTTTTTTTCTTTTTCTTTTTCAAATCACCTTTCCTCGATCTCCTTAGCTGGTGCTCTCATCTGCACCCCCTCTCTTGTCCTTACTTTTTCTCCTTTATATTCCATTCCCTGTTCTAACCTCCTGAGACCCCAGGGCCTGATCATTTTCACCTGCTCCCTATTCTCATTAGACCTGAGAAGTTTTCAGGTTCCATGGATGGGGCACCGCCACCCTACTGCCACCCGAGTACAACCCCTCTTCTCCCTGTAACCCAGGCTTGCTAGTCAGCTGAGGTCTCCTCCCCATGTCAGGAAGAGAATTGGCCAGCAGACATGAGAGCGGACAAGCAGACCTTCCAGGACAAAAGTGGGATGCCTGATTGGAGGGATCAAAGGTTACAGGCCCCAGATGAAGTCTGGCTAGGATGTGACGACTCTTGACATTGGCCCCAGCTGCAACTGCTTATTGCCTGATCTGCGACTGCTTTCTGAAGCTTCTTGGTCATTCCCAGGTTCCATAGACAGTGGTAGGTAGGAGGGACTATAGAAAGAGGTGTGGAACCTGCGGCCTCAAGGCCACAAGTGGTCCTCTAGGTCCTCAAGAGGGGCCCTTTGACTGAATCCAAACTTCACAGAACAAATCCCTTTAATAAAAGCATTTGTTCTACAAAACTTGGGCTCAATCAAAGGCCACACCAGAGGACCTAGAAGGCTACATGTGGCCTTGAGGCCACAGGTTCCCCACCCCTGGACTAAACCACCTGAACTGGCCTGACTTCTCACTCCTTCTCCTGAAACTAAAAATGTGCTGGCCCGAGCTCTGTCCTCTATTCTCCCTAGAGCATTATCAGTTATTAGTGCCAGGAGAGAATAAAGGTACAAAGGGCAGGGCCCAGGCTCTTCAGGGTAGAACCTACCACCAAGACAGCTGAGTCTGTGAACTCAGGTGAAGGTTGCTAGCTGAACAGGACCAGGATCCCTGAGAGGGGCAGTGGGGCATGTACCCCCAGGGCCTGGAGGACAATCCTTCCTTATTCAGTGGTAGAGGGATCACAGACCAGAGTCCCAGGACACTTTCCACTATGGCCTGGTCCCTGAGGATGGGCCAAGACTATTGTAGGAAAGTCATCTTACTCTCTTAAGACTGGTGACATGACACAAGCAATTCACTGGGTTGCCCATGGGATATATATGCATATGTGTGTGTATACACCTACATATATGTATGTGTATATGTATGTGTATATGTATATATATATAAATGCCTCTCCCAGCATTCTCTCTCTCCCCCTCTCTCTCTCTTCTTTCTCTCTCTCTCTTTCCCCTCTCTTTCTCTGTCTCCCTTTCTCTCTCCTCTCTCTTTCTCGGTCTCTTCTTTCTCTTTCTCTCCTCTTCTCTCTTTCTTTCTCTTTCTCTCTCCCTTTCTTCTCTCTCTTTCTCTCTCTCTCCCCCTCTCTCTCTCTTCTTTCTCTCTCTCTCTTTTCCCTCTCTTTCTCTGTCTCCCTTTCTCTCTCCTCTCTCTTTCTCTGTCTCTTCTTTCTCTTTCTCTCCTCTTCTCTCTCTCTCTTTCTCTTTCTCTCTCCCTTTCTTCTCTCTCTTTCTCTCTCTCTCCCTCTCTCTCCCTC